TTGGATGTGAACTTCTAAATTGTAGTTACTTTAAATTCTCAAGTTTCATCCTTACTTTTCCAAGTTATTGATGTATATGTCTCAAGCAAGTAAGAATATGCCTATTTTAAATGACAAAGAAGGAAGAGTGATTTTACGGGCATGCAAAGCATATTTTAACCGAATGCCTTGGGTTTCCGTTAGAGGTTTTCCTGTAGCTAAGAAGCATCACTCTCCCCCAAAGCTACTTGCATAATAAGCATGTTGTTGTGTTCAAGTCGAGTAAGATTCCAGTTTGCAAGGAAACAATACATGGTATATTTTACAGACGTGTTTTGCATCTGCAAGCAGAGAATCGATCCTGTTTCCTGTTTCAAAAGTAATCTTTATTCTGGCAAAGGGTAATATATCTTCAAAACAACTTCTAAAAGTTTCAAGCAAAGGGTAATATATCCTCAAACGACTCGTAAAAGTTTCAAACAACTACTTTCTCTTTTTTCTTACAAATAGGGGAACAGCTTTTTGGCTTTCACCCCTGTATCCTGCACATTTTTAGTGGAATTTGTTGCCAAGAAAGATATTGTCGCCATCATGCCAGATGATGTCAGCAATATCACTCCTCCTCCTGGTATTTACCCCTTTCCTCCACTCTTTTTTCTCATGGACTAACATCATGTTCTATGACCTAACTTTTTCGCTGCTAATTACTGCCGAGATTATTGTCTGTGACCTTACCCTCTCTTCTATACAATGTTCTCCCTCAAACACTATGCCTTTTCGTCCAGTGAGCCAATTTTCTCTAATAACCAAACCAAAGAGTGATCAAACTTGTTGCAAGTGCTGATATCAATTTTTTTTTCCAGGTGCTGTAGCATCCATATCCGATGCATCACCCGTCCATTACATAGTTAAAATGGAGTCATTTTCGTTAGTAACGAAAAATGCAGTGGAGAAACATGAATCGGGGGTTTTTGAAGCTGGAGGCTACAAATGGTACTTTTTCTTGCTAGTTAAATATTTATCTTTTTTGTCTTCTCATCCCCATCTGCAGTCATGTTTTGTTGGGAGATGCCCTTCGCGGTATTCTTTTTTATGTTTATTCTGTCCTATGTTTTCGTTGAAAGGAAATTGGTTCTTTATCCAAATGGAAACAAGAGCAAGAACGTAAAAGAGTACATCTCTCTCTATGTAGCAATGGTTGACACAAGCTCTCTTCCACTTGGTTGGGAGGTCCATGTGATTTTCCGGTTTTTTTGCTTGACCAGAACAAGGACAACTACTTGGTAGTTCAAGGCATGTTTTCTAAATCATTACTTTGCAATAGATCCTCAAGCTGTAGTCATTAATTTATTTTTATTTTTTTTTAGTGTCACCAATTAAAGTTATGCATCGTTATCTTTGTAAATTGGGTGACAAGCAAGATTTTCTTGCAATGGTTTTCTTCAATCACTCGAGTAATTTAGTCTGATTCAAGAGAAAATGATGCCGCTCTCTAATGTTTTGGCCTTGTTGCCGAGGTTAGATGCAGCAGGAAAGGAAACACGTTTCCATGGATTGAAGTTTTCGTGGGGTTTTGATCAGTTCGTTAAGCTTTCAACATTTAATGATGCTCGTCATGGGTTCCTTCTGGACGACAGTTGTGTGTTTGGAGCAGAAGTATTTGTCCGCAAAGAAAGAAGCAGAGGCACAGGAGAGCTTTTATCAATGATAAAGCAACCCGATCCTTTCGAGTACACTTGGAAGATCAAAAACTTTTCCAAGTTGGATGAAAAACGTCAAGAATCAGAAATATTCAGCATGGCAGATCAAAAATGGTATCTTTGTTATTATTTTTTTAATCTTTGATCTTAATTGAAAAAATCTTCAGAATGTGCTTTAGGAGGCCAATGTTTCTCTTCCATTACATTATAGTACTCCACATGCTAGGCCAAACAATAGCTGAGTGTTTAGAACGAAATTTACCATTGTATAAGCCAACTCTTGGTGATTCTTTCGTGAAGAAATGCTTGGCAGATAGTATATTTACACAAGTATCAAAACATATGTATATATTCCTTCTGCTATTAGTAGCACTTCTGAATTTCTTTTCTTTTTCCTCTACTTGTTGTTTCAGGAAGATAGTGCTCTATCCCAAGGGAAAAGGTCGTGGAATGGGCACCCATCTTTCTCTGTACTTGGCTTTGGATTTGGCAACCCTCCCTACTGGTTACAGACTATATACGGAGTACACCTTGCGCATTCTGAATCAATTCTGGGGGAGGGAGTCAGATCGTTATGTTAAAGGTAAAAACACAAACGAGCTCTTTGCCTGGAAGATTATACAGCAGAGGAGATTCTTGGATTTTATATTTTTTTCTTTTCTGTCGATGAAAAAAGAGTTCAGATTGTTTCTTCGACTTGCAGCTAAACACTGGTTTGATGCCTCAAGCTCAGAAAGAGGATGGGCAAGATTTATTTCACAGGATATTATTTATCAGCCAAACGGATCCTATGTTGTGAAGGACACTTGCATAGTAGAAGCAGAGGTCACTGTCCTGGGAATTGTTTCTGCCTTTTAGTTATGATTATTATTTTAAGATGAATGTCATGTAAATAATTTCGGTTGACTTTATTAATGGCAAGGATGAATTTAAAACACTCGTGTACCATGTGTCATTTGCTCGGAGAGGCTGTACAACATCTAATTTGGGGAATCATTTATGAGAAATTATATGCAACATTAGAGGGGAGTTTGAAAATTTTAAAACTCTCGGAGGCCAAAGCCACTCATAACTCCCTTAGGTTCCGTTCTGTTGGTGTGTATTGTCAATCTTCTTGTCATTTGTTCAGTAAAAATTTTATAATACATAAAAAAATAATTAGTAATATGTATAATTGTTATTTAATAAATTTATTTTGAAGAAAAAGATAGACACATAAAAAAATAAGAGAGAAAATTTTAAAAAATTATATCAACGGTGAAAATATTTTCATCATTTTTTATGAATTCGAATATAATAATAATTATTTTTTATATATATCTATCTTTTTTCATAAAATAATTATTATACAAATCATTATTTACTTATTGTGTATTATAAAATTTCTTTTTGTCCAACCTTGCAATTCTCAACATTTTTTTGCAAGCCATTCATTCACGTTGTCAAACATTATGTTGTTGTGCCTCATCAAAACAAATTTTATTGATCTCTGTATTGTGTTTCCTTGACCATCATTCAAACCAACGGCCAAACTCATTTTTTTATTTTGAGTTCTTAAACCAATTTTATGGTATTTTACGATTTCATCCATATCTTCTCTTTAGAGATGTTAAGTAGTCCAAATCATTTTTAAATTTTAATTTGAAAATCAATCATTTAACTTCTAAATCTAATTTTAGATTGAATATTTTTTTTAATTATTTTTATTTTAAATTGATCATCAATATGAATGACCAAAGTACATATAACTTGTATTTTATTGACTTTTTAACTTTCACAATATTAAAAACTGTATTAAAACTTATGAATGCTATACTATATATATATATATTTTCCAAAACTTGTTTATTTTCTTCTAAAATATTTTGTAATAGCTTATTTCTTGACAATTAAAAGATAGAAACTAGATTTGGAAGAAAAAATAAGTTTTGATATATTTTTAGTTGTTGAGTAATTGCAAAAATCTAACTGAAGGATTCAATTTTAATTTTTAAAAAGATGTAATTTGAAATTAAAAATTAATTTTTAAATGATTTAAAATTCAGAAAGCCTTTTTCATTCGTTTAAAAATCTAAAATCCGAACCTTTTTTAATAGAGTTTTCCTTGTTTTTATTTTTTCCTTTTTCACGAATGACAAAAATCCAACCGCCGTCCATGAGGACCAGGACTCTTTTTTTAGCGGATCTTGCTTTCAAGCCTCTGTCGTAACCCAAAAAACTGAAAAAGAGCCCGCAAGGTCAAAAGTTCCCAGACCGTAGTCCCGTCCGGGGAAAAATATAAAAACAATTTGTACGTAATGTTCTTAAGTCTCTGATAAATGTTCTTAAGAAGCGCCTTTCCAGATTCTGTCCTTTTATATGTAATGAACGCGTTGCCTTAATCCTACAAAAAAAAAAAAAAAAAAAACAAAGGGAGAAACACAGAAGAAAAAACAAAGAGAGAGGAAGGACGACACGTGTGCAACACTAGCGGAGCCATTTGAGTGGGTGGGCTATGGAGCTCGCCGTCACCAAGAAGTTTGCTCCAGCTCCGTTTGCTCGCCTTTGCTTTGTACGCAATGATCATCGTTGCTTCACTTTCAAGATTGATTACCATCTTGTCTTTTATCACCAGACGCGCACACATATATTCTGCGCAATCCTACTTCGAATTTCTTTGATTTGATTAACTTTATCTTTTACTTTTTAAGGTATGCAAGCATTATTGTTTCTAATATACATGTAAAATGATGATATAGGTGTTTGTGGGTGAGCAAAGCTACACACAAGAACACAATTTAATCGGCATATGAACAGAGGGGATTCAGAAGTTGATGGTGATGAGATTGATAGAGGAAGTTTTCTTGGGCACCCAATTTGTGATTTATGTGGAGAGCAAGTCTATGGGAATTGTGAACTCTATTCACATTTGTCAGTTGAACATTATACCTGTCGTTTTTGCGTTAGGTAGACCTTTTTTTCCTTTTTGATTGTAAATTTGTAATTTGACTATTTGTTTTTCAATTTAGAACCATTTACATCTAATTTTCATAACAGGCAGGAAGGACCCGGGGATATCTGAGTGCCACAAGAATATGAAGATCTGGGAGGCAACTATTTCCCCCTTGCCCTTTGTTTTCCCTATTATATCTGATATGATATTTATTTAACATTATTTACTTGTCTTACAGAGGCATTTCCGCACATATCATTTCCTATGTGAGGAAGAAGCTTGCCTTGCCGACGAGTTTGTTGTGTTTATATCTGAGATTGATTTTATGGTAGGCAAACAAAACAAAACACATGGAGCCTCCAAAAAAAAAAAAAGCCTCCTTGAAAGTCCCCATTATGGACTGCCTTTTCTGATGTCAGTCAGCCTGGTGCAGTGCCAGTTGGGCTGCATCCATTATATCACTAC